GTGTGTGTGTGTGTGTGTGTGTGTGTGTGTGTGTGTGTGTGTGTGTGTGTGTGTGTGTGTGTGTGTGTGTGTGTGTGAGTGTGTGTGTGTGTGTGTGGTTTCCGCTCTCAGCAGGGCTCCAGAATGAAGCATCTCCTGCAAATGTGAGTAATTATTCCTGCTATTTGACACACAGTGGTGGTTCAGATGACAGGCAGGAAAACTTATTTCTACCACTTTTCTACTACTGTCTAGTTTGTATGTCCATCTGCTTGCATTATAAAAAATAAGGTAATATCTATTTTTGTCTGCATGCAGTGTAAGTGATACATTACCTAATGTATGACATACTGTATTAATGGCTCCCAGCAAGGTTTGCAAAGTAAAAGTTAATGCTTTTTAATAACAAATACAATGTAAATATATATTTGTTTGATAATCTGGATGGCTATGAGATGACCAGTAATGCCTGCTACAGGAATGCTCACTGTGAAATTCTTCCTGCAGTAAATGTCCACTATCATCACTTGTCTGACATGTACTTTATAACGTAGGTATGTAGATGAATAAGGTCATCAGCAACAGGCTTAATGTATTATTGCAATAAAAACAAATATGAAGTCACCTGCTAACCCCGAATGTTACAGGGACTGTAATACACTCAAGTCATTTATATGTTAGTTAAAACTAGATTTTTATGAAATTGACATTTTTTGTTGTAGACATATGAACAAATGAAAAAAAAAAAACAAAACAAAAAAAACAGTTTCCCATTTAAAAAAAAAAAGATATAGCAGATCATAATTAACTAAAAATCGAACATTAAAAAAGACAGAGATTTGTCTTTTTGTTATTCATATTTTTTCATTGTGACATACAAAATTGACATCTTACATCATAGATGGCCCTCGAAACACATGCATGCAGCTGTAAATATGCACAATACAATAACTCTACGTGGCTCCTTGTTGACAAATGCAATTTTTTTAGCTACTTCTAAAAAAAAAAAAAGAGCTACATTGGATCTCTTGTAGGATAAATGTTAACAAGTTCTCTTTTAATCAAATATCATATGCAAAACATAAATAAACACAATCATCTCAACACAGTTTTGTGTTGGTGCATTAACAAAGATTCACAAGTCCTACCAGGAGAGTTCTGTGGCGAGGAGGCAGGTGAACAGCGAGGAGAGAAGCTGAACCCAGGGTGAATGGGGTGAGGAGGAACATATGACATGATTTCCTCTTCAAATAAACTGCAAAGACAGGAGGCAAAGCATAGCAGGCATTATTTTGTATACCACATAAAGTTCAACCACAGGTTAGGAGTCTTTATAAAACAAAGTAGATGTTGAAGATGGTGAAGTCATCAAGGTTCTTCACCTTAACAGGATGACTAAGTCTGCATCACATGACAGCTTCTCCACCCCCTGAGTGCCTTCTGTCCGGATGTAGTGGATCTTCTCCCTGATCAGTCAAGAGGAAAGTCCAATTCAGATTCAAACTATATTTGAGTTTAGTACTGTTGTCTGTTCTGCCAAAAAGCTTAAACTCTGTTTTCAAGAAATGTGCATCTTTACTCATGGAATTACACTCATGGTACCTTTTATTGAATGACCTTCTTTTTGTATTTATGTTCTCACTCCTCCTTCCGAGATACTGTTTTTTTTAAGGTACGCATTTTGCATCTTGAAACCGTGATAACTTTGTGATAGGGGATGTGTGATTTTAACAGAAAAGACAAGCTCATGTTAAAAGTATCTGGTTCTCCATGTAGCACTGATGATGCAGTGAATGAGACCACTGTGCTCCCTGGAAGTCCCAAAGCTTTCCAAACAGCTTTGGGTCCACGTCCTGATAAGACCCATTTTTACTGCAGTGGTCCAGAGTTTAGTTTTTTTCTTTTTTAAGATTTTTTTTGGTGACTTTTTTGGCTTTATTAGATAGGGCAGAGAGAGAGACACGAAAGTGGGTGGAGAAGATTGGGGGAAGGACCTGCAACAAAGGGTCATGAGCGGGACTTGAACCCATGACCGCTGCGTTGGGGACTATAGCCCCTATACGTGGGACATCAGGTCAACCAGGTGAGCTATAGCGGCGCCCTACAGTTTAATTTTTATTATCAACAGAATTCTAAAAATGTGTTTTCACTATGCCATTGTGGTTTATTGAGAGTAGATAGAGGGACAAAAATATTTTAAACATTTAAGATTAAATCTACAACACAAGACTGTGTGTAAAAAGAGAAGGGGTCTGAATACTTTCTGAAGCCACAGTAAGACACCACACACAACCATTTTGATTTCAGTTAAAGTTAAGAGCTTCATGATAAAGTGTAGATGCACAATGGAGAGGAAGACCAATAACAATGTACGTTTGTAGCACTTTTAAATCTGTCGGCCACTACAGAGCAGTGAGGAGGTTCCATCAAATGTGAAAGGAAATGAAATAGTGAAAATACTGTTGCCTGTGTGACACTAGCATCAGGTGGATGTGTTTTTGCATGTCAGTATTTTTGAGAAACAAGCCTACCTCAGTGCATGGTTTCTGCTCAGGCTGGGCTGTCGCTCCTGTAACATGTCAAATATGTTCGGCTGTCGAAGGAACGCCACGATCTTGTCATTATAAGCTGGTCAGGAAAGACAGAGAGTTTAGAAATGAACAGACTCAAAAAATAAAATCATTCAAGGCAATTAGTGGACATTAAACAAGGTGGTCTGTGTGGTAAATAGTGGCTATAAAGCACAAGATGGTATGACAGTGCTTACATGGAGCAGCCAGCTGCTGTGAGTCTCCGTGATGTTGGCTCCGTATGGCAGCCACCAGGCTGTTTCCAGGTCTGGCCATCAGAGAAGCCCCGCGACTCCTGGATACGTCAGAGGCCTGCGAGCAAACACCAACAGAACAAGCTGTTCACTGACAAGATGGACATCTGTCTTCAGTCTGAACAACCTTATAAGACCAAGGTCATTTTGTTGTTTGTCATCTGCTAAGAAGCAGGTGAGTGTTTCTGCTCCACATAAGTTCAGGTGGGTGTCTGTTCTGGGAAACACATACATTCACCGGCCACTTTATTAGGTACACCTGTCCAATTGCTCGTTAACGCAAATTTCTAATCAGCCAATCACATGGCAGCAACTCAATGGATTTAGGCATGTAGACATGGTCACGATGATCTGCTGCAGTTCAAACTGAGCATCAGAATGGGGAAGAAAGTTGATTTAAGTGACTTTGAACGTGGCATGGTTGTTGGTGCCAGACGGGCTGGTCTGAGTATTTCAGAAACTGCTAATCTCCTGGGATTTTCATGCACAACCATCTCTAGGGTTTACAGAGAATGTTCCGAGAGAGAGAAAATATCCAGTGAGCGGCAGTTCTGTGGGCGCAAATGCCTTGTTGATGCCAGAGGTCAGAGGAGAATGGCCAGACTGGTTCGAGCTGATAGAAAGGCAACAGTAACTCAAATAACCACTCGTTACAACCGAGGTATGCAGAATAGCATCTCTGAATGCACAACACGTCAAACCTTGAGGCGGATGGGCTATAGCAGCAGAAGACCACGCTGGATGCCACTCCTGTCAGCTAAGAAGAGGAAACTGAGGCTACGATTTGCACAGGCTCACCAAAATTGGACAATAGAAGATTGGAAAAAAGTTGCCTGGTCTGATGAGTCTCGATTTCTGCTGCGACATTCGGATGGTAGGGTCAGAATTTGGCATCAACAACATGAAAGCATGGCTCCATCCTGCCTTGTATTAACGGTTCAGGCTGGTGGTGGTGGTGTAATGGTGTGGGGGATATTTTCTTGGCACACTCTGGGCCCCTTAGGACCAACTGAGCATCGTGTCAATGCCACAGCCTACCTGAGTATTGTTGCTGACCATGTCCATCCCTTTACGACCACAGTGTACCCATCTTCTGATGGCTACTTCCAGCAGGATAACGTGCCATGTCATAAAGAATCATCTCAGACTGGTTTCTTGAACATGACAATAAGTTCACTGTACTCCAATGGCCTCCACAGTCACCAAATCCAATAGAGCATCTTTGAGATGTGGTGGAACGGGAGATTCGCATCATGGATGTGCAGCTGACAAATCTGCAGCAACTGCGTGTTGCTATTATGTCAATGTGGAGCAAAATCTCTGAGGAATGTTTCCAGTACCTTGTTGAATCTATACCACGAAGGATTAAGGCAGTTCTGAAGGCAAAAGGGGGTCCAACCCGGTACTAGCAAGGTCTACCTAATACAGTGGCTGGTGAGGATATGCAGATTTTACAAATACACTTATTCTTCTTTCCGTACGAAAAAAAAAATAAAAAATCACATGTTGTAATTAATGAAGAAATAGATCTAAAAAAAACTATAAATCATCAATTTTACATGTAGTTTAAAAAAAAAAATCATTTAAACAAATGATATGCAACAAGTTGTCACAACTCATAATGTAATAACGGCACATAATGTAATAACTTAAATGTTTAGTTAATACTAACATGAACAGACAGGCAATAACTTAAGCTGGGTTAGCAAAACTTTAGTAATGCAATGTAAATGAAAAACATGGCCAATGCACCGAAGCACGCGTCAATCGTCATGACACATGGCAAAAAGAGTTAAAGTGAAACAGGAGACATGTTGAATCTTTGTTAATTTCACAATGTCGTTATTAACTCATCTGTCAGCAAGCTCTGCTCAGCCCACTCCTGTAATGTTGCCTGGCTACAGCTTACACCTGTACTACTGAGAAGACAGCGGTGAGAACTGCAGGATTGAATGAGTCAGAGCTCCATCTAGTGGACAAACGGCACAACGACAGCAATCTGCGCGACTGTGACACAACATTTACTGTTATATGAGAAAATAACCTGATAGTAAGCCAGAACATCACCAAAATTTAGTCGTTTGTTCATTGTGCCATTATCATCATTTCCTGAAAATTTCCTGAAAATCCATTGATAATTTTTCGAGTTATCTTGCTAACAAGCAAACAAACAAAAAAACAGACAAATGCCGGCTAAAACATAACCTCCTTGGCGGAGGTAATAGTCGACTCACAATGTAATAAAATCATCAGCGCATAATGTAATAATGTGACAATTTATTACATTATGAGCCCAGACTGATGCCGCTCATAATGTAGTAACAGCTCATAATGAAACAATGGCCTATACTGTGAGAGAAGTGTTACATTATCACCATTTTTTACCTTTGCTTTTCCTACAGGGTGAAATGACATGCTTTCAGCTCTGGGATTGTCTGTCTGTATGTAGGCAGAATCACACAACTTCTGCAAACGTGGTGGAGCATTAAGTCCATAACGGCCACACTTGCACACTAACTGCTAGAATTCACTTTCAGACTAAGGTCTGTGTTTGACTGTACATTTGTACACGGTAGCACTACAGTAATAGGGTGGATTAGGGAAAAGAAAGGGGGACTGTAGTCCATGTAGTTTAAGTGCGTTTTCTTTGTTTACTATTTCTACAATAAATGCAGGAAACAATAATGTTTACATTAAAAACACATTTAAGATAGTTATTTTCAAATAAGTAAGTTTAAAACTCTTTCCTTCTATATAGCCTGATGAAGACCTTAGAGTTAAAATGGTGCTGTTTTGTTGTTGGTCTTCAATGCCAATTTAATAAAGGCTTTTAAACATTTTCCTACTACTTACATTAAATACATCATACAAGCAGCATAACATGTTCATTCATTCTACTTTATTTTGGAACTTGTGAAACTATATACTTATAGAACAGACACATAGGGTCATACAAAACATGAACCAGCTCAGAAATTCTTCAGTTGTAAAAGCAGCCTGTCAGGACACCCAAGTAAAATACATAAGTCCCAATTTAACTAAACAATATGTACAAATAGTACATAGTTATAAATTACAGTTAGCCAACAAAAATCCAGTCCAGGGCTCCATTTGTCAAGCACTGTCCCTGTGATCACTCAGATCAGGGGCTTAACAGGCGAATGACAATCCATGCGGTAATCCACCTTAAATTTTGTCTGAAGCGATGCCTGATGTTGGATGCAAGGCCAATATTGCGTCCAGGTGCTTTACATAACCTGATAATATTTATACAACATCAACATCGACACCCAGTATTGATCCAATCATAAACTGCACATTGAATATGGTGGATGCTCTTTGTAGAGTTAGATGATTACCATATGTACCACTGTGCTGCATGCTTTGCACATAGTCATCCTATTGTCCTTCCACAAAATTAGAAAGATGGCATATGGGTGAAGCACTAGGTTTGATACAATTTCTTGCCTTAGAGATGCTGTAGACTGAAAAATTCCAAGTTTGGCAAGTTGGTCAACCATAGCTGCAAACTGGCAGCTGCCATCTGAGTTAGGGTCCACATGAGTCCTGAAACCTAGTGATTCAAAAGACTCCAACCTCATTTCATGGGTGATGCGCTGTAACAATTGTATGCGCTGATGTTTTTTGGACCTGTGCTTGGAACGTTGCATTGGCATTCAGAACTTTACTTTGTATTTTGACAGATCTGCATTTCTTTGGACAACTACACCTGGTACCACAGCATATCTTTTTCGAAAATTTTGGACCTTTGCTGACCCTCACCAACACTTTGTCCTGTAAATTGGTGGACTTCCCTTCAATTTAGTTATACATTTCATGCAATGTTCTATAGTCTTTAGTGCCCTCCTTCGTATCTTCCTGCGGTCTTCCTCAAACTTAGGTTTCAGGAAAACTGCAGGAAGATACGTCATGTTCTATTCTAAGTCTTCAGGAACTGAGTCAGGACTAGCATTACCTGTATTGCTGGACAAGTGATGAGTCCCAATGTTATTCTTCTGTCCATAATACACTTCAAAAGGAGGCATTCAGTTGAGAACCTCTTTTTTGTCCAGATTCATAATTTTTGCATAAACTGGCATATGTGCTATCCAGTTAACACCTCCTCATTTGCAATTTACAAAGTCATACATGATTTTTGTACATAGCACCCAGTGTGTTCTTTCAGCTTTACCTTGGCTCTGGGGGTGATATGGAGAGCTCTGAATGACTGTGACCTGATATGATTCCATCAGCTTCTGGACTGCACCTTTGAATTCTTTGCCCTGATCGTGTTGCAAAATCTTGGGTGGGCCATGTTCAGTGTAGAGTTCAACAAGATGTTTAGCAACCTCTTTGCTCTTCGATTTCTACAATTTATAATGTCTACAATTTCATTTTGCAGATGCTTTCATCTAAAGCGACGTACATCTGGGAGCAGATACATCACAAGCAAGGATCTAGTCAGTAGAAAACAATCTGGATAAGTGCCATTGAACAAATGGTGTGATAGGGCGTTGATGCCAATAACAGGCTGTGTGGGAGGTAATAGGAATTTATATTCATTTATTTATTTATTTATTTTCAGTCTGTCAAGTGCAAAGGTGTTCAGGGGGCGTAGCCATATGTATCTGCTACATACATCAAGGATGGTTAGGATACACCGATGTTTAACGTTTCTATGTTTGACGGCCTATTTCCCTATGTTGAGGAGGTTGATTTGATGATGCTCTTGAACTGTTTCAGTTCTGATGGGCTTCGGAATGGCTGCGTTTCGAAAAGTAGCACTGTGAAGATGATGGCGCCTGGACCTGTCCAATACCTTTTGCATATTTCTTTACTGATGCCAGAATACTGATCCTTTAAGTACACATTAGCTTTTCTGGCACCACATCCCTTGGTCTCTTCAAGCTCTGTCTTCACAATACCTTGAAAGGTCGTCTTTTTTGCAACCAATTTCCCATTGTACATTAATCATTTGCTGTCACGTGTTAATGTTTTTAATACATTGTGAGTAGATTATTACAATATGCGCTTTTATTTACATCTAAGTTGATACATTATGAACCAATATTACATTACATGGCTCATTTATTAACTTGTGACACAAGTTAATAAATGAGCCATTGAGATTCTGTAGACAGATACTAGAATATCTGCTCCAACTACTTATTTCCCCTTGACTACAGTCTTCTGAACTATTTTTAAGCTCTCCAGCTTATTTGATGTTGACACCCCAGTACATAGCGGAGATGTGGATGTGTTTGTTAGGTTTAAGCTGCTACTTCTGAAACACTAGCTCATACTCTTCGAGTTCAGCATTGTCTTTCAGGAGGGAAAGTCTTTGTGGATTTACATGCACCTACTGACAATCTGAGAACATACAATACAGGTGTGTGAATACCTCTCCAGCGCTGTAGCTGCGTAATCTCTGCAGGTGCTGTCTGTGGGCGAGGTGGCCCGGCAGTCGGCCGTTCTGCAGAGGGATCCGAGGGTCGATGAAGGTTGTGGCTCGACTGTTGTGATCCACAAAGAAAGACTAGAAGACAGGAAAACATAAAAATTATACAGTATGCATTGTAAAATATAGAATCTAAATGAACTGCCGTGTTACAATTAAAACATTCAGGTTTACATTTATGATTTAGTGGACTGAAAGAAGAAAAATAATGGGTACGATAGACAACACAGAATGCACAATTTCATATTCTTTTCCTCAGTTACACTTTTGTACAGACTAATCTGCTCCTGGTGAGTATTACACAGAGTTCTAACGATGCCTCCCATGCCATGTGCCCTTGCTTTAGATCACAGGGCATCACAAGTGGATTATCAAAGACCACCATTACCTCCATTAAGCAGTTATTGCTTCCTTGAGCTTTTTCATTGGAATAAATTTCGACACTTTCATAAAATGACAAATGTTTTCTTGCTAAAAAGCATTTGTTTTGCAGTCCATGTCAAAGGTTTTTTTTTTGCGAGATCTCTTTTTTAAATTGCACTTTTTTTTGACCAAACATGACACAACGTAGTTACTTTAGAACAACTCCAAAGGCACTGCATTGCAGTTCCAGTTGTCAAGTTACACTTCATACACAAACATCATCTACTGTGGTTGTTTTTCTTCAAAACATTAGATGTTCTAAGGCAGTAGTCCTCAAATACAAATCCGAAAGGTCCACAAGAACAATTTTCAAGGAGTCAAAGGTCTGTTTATTGTCGTCAGCCAAGACACAAATCATAATACTATCTTTTTTTTTTTCAAAAAAACTGAAATAAAATGCCATTTCTATTTCGACATATAAAATAGTGGGGACCAGAAGATAAATAACCATAAGAAAAGGAGGAAAAAATGTATTGCTGGTCTGAGGAGACTAAAGTGTAACGGGAATTTTAAAAAATGGTAGAATAAAACAAATGTCACTTTCACTTCAACAATAACTCAAACCCCCAATTTAAATAACTATTCAAAGAACTCAGGAATCATAACTATTTTACAATGTGCCAAAAACCACTGCCTAATGAGAAAAATGGCATCTTGTGTCTTGTCCCAAGAATTTGAAGTTTGGAACAAATGGTGTAACAGCCAACCGTAGACACTTTTCTTTTGCCGGCAAATTTGGAACAGGCCATGTCATCATCGAGGCTCCGACTTCGCGTAAAGCATCGGGAAGCACACAGCGGTGAAAACGAAACTTAAAAAAGTGCCTGTCTCGCTGCAGCAGTGCACTTTCAGTGACCCAGCAACAGACTATCAGTGCATCATTTGCATAAAGACTACGTCACATGAACAGTACATGTGCCGACCAAACCAAAACACGCTCAGTGAAGGAATCGCCCATTCAGCTTGTGGTCCGCAAATCGACGACCTGCAGGCCGGACCCGGACTGCGGGCTGCGGGCCGCGGGCTGCGGGCCGCCATTTGAGGGCCACGGTTCTAAGGTGTCTATGCAAAAACTTATATTATGTCTCCCAGCTCTGCAGGATGCTTTTATTAATCACAAAGCAATGTAAACCTCTCAGCAAGTCTAGGTTGTTCCTCATGGTATTAAGGACATGAACATATTGACACTATGTAACTTGAGCGTGGTATCATGGACTATGTGTTGTGACTGACCTTTTCTGGTAGTCAGACAGCTTAAAGCAGCACTTTCAAACAGCTGAACAGGACTGCAAGTCCAGTGTTCTGTCCTTGCCTCATTTTTCTTTGCTAGCATTTCTAAGCCTGATGCAGTGCTGGCCATCGTGTGTCAAACCCATGAAGAGTTGTTGTATATGTGTGAAGGGGCTTACCTTTCCCTGGGGGTCGGTCTTGACCTCCCAGCCCCTTGGCAGCTCAAGCTGAGTGTCTGCGAACTTGTTGAGGAATACCACCAGGTCCCTGTTATGCTGGTAGCGCTCAAAATTTCTGGCATCCCGACGCACCTTCAGGATCATGTGCTTCACGCAGCTGCTGCTGGTAAACATCCGGTAGGCTGCCTGTGGATGGAAGCATTGTTTACAAGTGAACTTATGTAGAAGTGCAGCAAGTCACTGACTGAGAATCAATGGTCTCAAACTGACCATTGATTTGTGAGGATGTGTTTGTCTTTTTGTGTGTGGGTGGATATTACTCATGTTGTGGGGACCTAAATGGGATTACAGGGATTTGTCCTGTAAATCATGTTCAAGGATAGGGTAACAAATGCAGTAGTCATGGTCATGGTTACAGTAAGTCTTGAGACCATAAATGTAAGTCAGTGTAACAGGGCTTTAAGTGCGTGACTATTTAGGTTCCACATGTAACCAAAAATCTGTCAAGTGCAACTCAATGTTTTTATTGGTTGCACTGATGAGCCTGGCAGTTAGCTTGTCTGTCTCTGTGTAGATAAAATCACTCAGTTTTAACTTGGGTCAATCTGACAGCAGAACTCCTTATTTCACTCTTTTTCTAACTAGTAGTCCATTCTGCTGAAGAAGAACAAAACATGTATTCGCACCCTTGAGCCTGTTTACAATCATCCAAATAATGTGTTAAGAAATTATTCATGTGCTTTGAAGCTGACAAAACACTTGTATTGTATTATTCAAAAAAATAAAAATGAAAAAAAGGTGGGTGTACTACAGCAACCAGTTTCAACAGTTAGCCTTTAGTCTTGTGAAATGTTCACTGGTCCCAAATACACAACTGGGTGTGTAGTTAGATACATAAATAGTTGGTATACTGTGTGTCAAATGATGCTGTAATATGAGCAATGCAATGTGCGTGTCTAAGTGCACTTCTTACATAGTTGCTGTGCAACACAGTGAAAAATTCTGGATGTGTGATAAACTTGACAGCAGGTGATTGGAGGAGATGGCTGATCTTCTGGTGATTAACAGGGGAGGCGGGGCCTGCAGACAGATGACAGGTAAATTAGATATATTCCAGATATTCAAGATCTGCTGAGAATCAGTTATCAGCGACCAACACACATTACATGCTGGTTAGACATTGCTCTGTCATTAAGCTGGAAGTGATAGCTTCCAGAGATAGAAGCAGCTGCTGCTTTAGGAGCCAGGGGCCTAATTTATCATCAGTGTGTAGAAAAGGTTCTAAATTCTGTCATACGAATGAAATTTAGAACGTGTGTAAGAACAAAAAAAATTCATATTTATCAAACGTGCGTATGTGGGTTGTACGCACATCAGGAAGTCATCAGTGTTAGTAAATCCCACTTGTTCTTAACCACCGTGCTCAAGCACGTTGCCTTCAGAAACGCCTCCAATTAACCATACATGGCAACAACACGCCTCTTTATAAAGCAAGTGAAGATTTATTTTTTCCTCACCTGCTGTCATCATCATGACAAAAAGGGCGAAAAAGAGGAACTTTTCTGAAACTGAAATTGAGGTACTTCTCAGCGAGGTTGAAGCAAACCAGAAAATATAGTTTGGTGCATTAAATGTTGGGATAAGCAACAAAGGAAAAAAAAAAAGTGCTGATATAGACATGATAACCACAGTAGTTATTTCTGTTGGGTCAGAGAAGAGCTTGCAAAATTTTTTAAAAGTGGTTTGACATTAAGCTCAGTGCCAAAAAACGCGTCACATCCCATAAAACGAGAAATGACTGCAACTGGAGGAGAATGAATCAATACCTAACGTTCACCCAATGGATAACCCTGATTACCTACAGATGAGATGTTTTAATAACCATACTAAGTCCAGCAAAAACATTTCCACACTCTAGTCTGTAATACTCACCAATTAGCCAGCCATCTTCCACAGGTCCTGTTTGGAGACACACCCACAGAGCTGTTCTGCTCAATGAATGAGTAGTACATTCCTCCAGGCCACCGGGCAACAACTTTTGATAGCCACAAATGTGCATCGCGAATTATTTGTACATTGATTGAATGAAACCCTTTTCTGTTAACATGACTAAATTTGTTTTGTGATGCTGCTTTGATTGCTATATGGGTGCAGTCTATGGCTCCAATTATGTTTGGGAATCCAGCGATAGAGTAAAGTCCCCGTTTGATTTGGGCTCGTTGATGATGGGAACTGTAAGGGAACTGGATGTAGGCTGGGGCCAGGAGAATTATGGCATCCAACACTGCCGGCATGATCCTGCTCATTGATTGCTGGAATGTGCCGGTGGTCAAAATCCCTGAATGCTTTTTATTTGTAGTTTCACTATTCTTCCACTAGATTATGTGCGTAAGCATGGTCAGAGTTGTGCGTATATTTCCGAACATTCCTAAGTATAAGTACAAGTTGATAAATTTCATACTTTGTGCAGGAATGTTCGTACGCAGTCACTGATGATAAATGAGGCCCCAGGGCTGAATCACCAATGTAAGTACATTTACTCAAGTTGTATACTAAGCACAAATTTGATGCACTTGTACTTTATGTGAGTACTGTAGACATTATACATATATTTACCACTGTCAAACTATCTCAAATTACATTGCCAGGTGACAAAATATTGCATTAAAAAACATTCATTGAAGTAATGTAGAACCTGTATTATGCCTTCAAATAGTTAAAACAACTTGGTGGTCCTAAAACTGAGCATAGATAGAATCTAACACACCACAGACATCAGCCTTTGGATCAATTCTTATAAATAAAGTGTGGATGGTGTGACTTTCAGGAGGCTCGGGGCTGTACCTGTCTGAGCAGAGTCAGAATCAGCCTCCGTACTGCTGCTCCGCTCCAACCTCTGACTACCTCCCTCTTCCTCTGTGGCCATGGTCCTCTGGATGTTCTGGTACCTACAAGATGAATGACAGTTTCAGCTCTGCTGACAACCTAATTATTTCAAGACCTACTCAGTGCTCCTCTTACACTTTTTTTTTTTTAAACTCAGAAAACCTTCTACAATTTTGTAGCATATTCATATTTTGAATATTGTTCATGAGCCTATTTTTGACTCCACTGCACTCCATTGTATGTAATTCACAATCACCCTTGGATTGCCTGGTTTCAGTTCCATATTCAGGCACCAGATGTCAGCCTATCTCCACTGTAGGAATCTTATAAGCTTATAATACTGCACTGGCTAAGACTGTTGACTGCTGAGACTTCTGCTGACTTAATTGTTTGTTTGTTTGTTTGTTTGTTTGTTTTTAAAAACATTTTACACTTCAAAACACACAACCAAAATCAAAGTAGAACTAAATGATATGCTGTAGGTAGTTAGTTTAACATTTCAATCAACCTGAAAGCTTTAAAAAAATTGTTTTGCAATCATTTCAATTTGTAGAGACTGAAAGTTTTCAGGCAACTTGAAGATGGAGTCTTTAAAACTCTCAGAAAAATGGAAATCAGAATATACTGCAGGATTCCATGCCAAGTATACAACTCCATCTGCTAAAGAAGATTATGTGGTTTGGTAGCTACTGCTATTTTGGTTTATACTTGTGTATTTCCATTTTTACTTTATTTCTTTTCTCTGCAGATATACTCAAACATATATAAACTCAAAGTAGCTGACTACTTTTCCTTTCAATACATTAGGTGCCTTTTTTTTGTTTAGACTTAATTGTTATGTGAGTACACATCTTATTCATTTAGTGGCACGAAAGAAAAAGGGAAAATAAAAGATTAAAAAACAAAACAAAAGAAAAAACAAACTTTTTGTGGAATTTTTATTGTTCAGCACTATTAATAGATATTGTTACAGTTGGAACATTCTGCCTCACTTGATGTAGGATGTGGGTATAAACTACAGCTCATTTCAGTTGGCTTTTTCCTTCCTTCTTCTATCTGTGTGTTACCGTTTTCTTCCAATTGGGAAACAACAACAGCAACAACCTCTGAGCAGCAACCTACTGAAAAGTTTTGTCGAGGATTTGAAAGACTGGGATGACATTTTACATATTTACTGACAGTTTCTATTGTCCTGCATGAAAATGTTCCTCTGTCACTGTTCTGAGGAAACACTGAAGCAGCATCCTTCTCTTAGCCGCACCTATAATGACTGTGATTGGTTTAAAGAAATACAAACAAGTCAGTGTGTTTTCTCCCTTATGATAGTGCGGTGTAGCCAGGCCATTCTGGCAAAGTGACACTTCAGTTGACGCTCTCTCCCTGTATTCCTGGTCTGACCTGCGATTGAGCTGCTCCATCTGCTGGGTGGACCCTGACCGGGGGATGCCGTGGTTACACTTGCTGCCGTGGCTCGGCCTCTGCCAGGTCGTGGTCCGGTTGACGTGGTCCACATAGAAAACTCTGCCATGACTGTCGATACGAGCTTCCCAGTCTGTGGCAACAGAAAGGTGGTGGAGGATTAGACAAAGTTATTGGCGATAGTAACACTGTTACATTGTGAATAACGAGTTTGGCGGTCATATTCCAATTACATGGCTGTAAACACACCCACTTCTGAATTTCATTAACCCTAAAGACAAAAACAGATGGGAATCTCTTTCCCCTGCACACAAAATACAGATACACTGTGTTATTATCACAACAAAAAAAAGTCAACAAAATAAATTAACAACATGATGGAAAGCCAGCTACATACAGCTTTTATTGTTTCAATACAATTATTATTCACCTCAGTCATCTTTAGTTTAACAAATATAGTATGTTTACATGACTAAGATATCAAATAAAACTCAGTATTCAGATCTTTTTATATACTTTAGGTTGTTGAGCTTCTACTTCAAAGAGAAAGTGGCAAAAAATAAAAGGGAGGCACATTTTTACTACTTTGATGTTGTAACACAACCAAAACTGAGTGGAAAACTAACCCCCTTAGGCAGGCTTTGATATCTGCCTTAAAGAGATCATCAAAACTTTTGGTTCTTCTCTGATGAGCTGACTGGTGGAAGGATTCGAGGCTATGGAGTCGCAACTTGGCAGATTGGGTGACACACTGTTTCCCTATTTTGTTAAAAAATATCTAAATACAGTGTGAGAATAAAGCAACTACAGAGCATTAAGAGCAACACTGTCTGTATCCACTGGTGAAAAGTGTAAGCTGAGACACAAGCTGACAATATAATTTTATTATCAGCTGTAGAGAAATACAACATCCTTGAGGGAAAAAAAAAAAGATTGTTAAAGTGAATTCATTGCAGCTCTTACTACATACGCTGTGTCTTTAACTGAGTCATTTAATATGAAAACCATGACTAGAAGTATAATGCCATAAGTCATAAAAGAAAAAAAAGAAAATAAGAAAGTTGAATTTTTTTGATTACATATTTTACAAAAAGGAAAAAAAATCAAACAAACTTGCAATCAGCATGTATAACATTTTTCCAAGTGTCCGCATTGTTACCAGTCCTGGAAAAAATGGTGACTTCACAGGCTACGGACTCTATTATAGCACCACTACAGATTCCTATTTATAATTCTTATAACGTCTCCAACATCAGTTCTAGAAAGCTGTTTCCCATGCTCAGTGTTTCCTCTACATTCATTTAGGAGTGGTGGGCCGCCATTCCTAAATCCTAGCCGCCGCTCCTTCAAAGATTTTTTTTATTGTCGCAAATACACCACCGCCGCATGTCTTCACCTTCACAGCACAGAGTCCTGCACTGGGTCGGGTACTCGCGAGCACAAAGGTAAACTACAGATAACTATCTTGCTCAGTATCTACTCTTTGGGGGGTTAATATGACATTACTACTAAGGTATGTGTGGTAACTTCAGCTGGAAAAGAACCACTCGACAACGACGTAGCCGAAGTTGCACTTTATATAAACATGGGCAAACTTAGCTTTACAACCAGAGTTACTCTGTTAACAGAGGGGCGGCTGTGGCTCAGGTGGTAGAGCGAGTCGGTCAATAATCGGAAGGTCGGTGGTTCGATTCCGCCCTGTAACCTG